CCTGCCCTTAAAATTCACAAAAAACCTACAAAAAATAAGGAAACCAGATTTTCATAATCTGCTTTAAATTTATGCTATTCATTCTTATAGTCAGACTGGCTCAGTTGATATGTGCGCTGACTTTTACACCTTCGATACTCTCTTTAAAGTCAGGGGTTCGAATCCACCTTGTACAACACTTAAATAAAGTTTTAAATTTCGCCTTTTCAAAGACTATTTTAATTTTTTTATAGACTTGTGTATATTTTTCCTTCAATTTTCTATCCCTTATGCATGCCCATTCTTGATATAAGAAACACTAAAGAGATATCAAATCGTAACAATCCAATGTACAGTTGTCAGTCAGGTGGAACGAACCTCAGCATATAGCACACTTTCTCCGAGGACAAGAATAACTCACTGTATGTTACTCAATACGGGTATTCTTGGCAGCGTTGAGCTGCGATGAATTTCAATTGTATATATTCCTTTGAATTTAATCACATTGATTTTGACAATACATTTCAGTAAATGCACTCCCTTGGATTTCATTTAGGCCTTTATAATTTGCACACATTAATGAAAAGTTTTCATTATCTCTACGGATTAATAGCCTAGACATAAAGAATAGATTTTCAGAAACAGAGGACATTACCTTTATGCACAATGAGAAGTAAAGACAAATATCAATTAGGCCTATTATATTTGGAGATAACAATCTCAGAAAATCAACAAAAAAGGGGGGGTTCCCCTATTTCTACTCACTGAAATAAAGATTTAGGAAAAACAAATTGTTATATGTATTCAGCCTAATGTCATTATTCAGAACGGAAATCGACAAGCTTTTTGTAGAGAATAAAACCAAGCCCAGTCCTATAGGTCAGATTCCTATTTATAATGAAGTGATCCTTCATAGGAGATATGAATAAGAATACAGATTGGATTTTTTCTGATTGAAAATTTACTGAAAGTATCTAGATGAGTGACCTAGTTTTGTACCTTGTATTAAACAGCTGGGTGGTTAAATGTAGAATGGGATACAGGTTTAAACTTCGGCTACAGATATGGTACTACAAGTACTGAGAAGGATAAATATGACGTCGCTGTTTGTGAGGAACCTAGGATTTTGGAAAATGAAATGATTGCCACAGGATGCTTAGTCACTAGAGGTATTTGTAATACAGAAAAGGCTCTGACACCTAGAAAAAAGAAATAACAATTTTAAAGAGTCGAGAATTCATAGAAATGTATCTATCTAGGTCCAGATTGGGAATGGGGAGACCAAGATGGCGGAGCTGGAAGTATTGGATCCGTTTACAGAGTTAAAGGCAATGGCGTTGTTAACGTGCGTTTATAATAGCTATATAGCCATTTAATTTTCATTAACCCGTTATAATAAAAAAAATTCAATAATTCGATTTGATTTTCTGTTTATGAACCTCTCATAAATTTTAATAATATAGAAAGAATATTCAAGGCAACCATGCCTGCTGTTCAATCGTTTCATAAAGCACTGAAAGAAATACTTTTTTTAAACTAACCTTGTTCGTTTGTTCTTCAACCAGGTGCGTTGGGAAAATGGTCAGATGAGTGAATACAGGTTCAGTTTTGAAGGAAAATTTGATCTATTGATCTGGTTAGCAGCAGGTGTGGCACGATAAAGATCCCTCCCTGCTCAAAGGCCGTAAGTGCCGAGCATAGGCCTAGATTTGCAGCCCTTCACCGGCAATGGTGACGTCTCCATATCAGTGAAATATTCTGGAGAGGGACGTTAAACAGTATACAATCAGTCAATCAGTCTTGATTATCGTCCCCATTGAATACAAGTACAGAGATAACGAAGGAACAGTATTCAAGCTCAAAGGTTCGTTTTAACAATAGAAATCGGGAGCAAACATGGACATTCAAAAACATCAGAGTGCAAAAGGATCAGGTGTCATGGGGATTGAGCGTCCCCCGCAGATTGGTCACACCCGTTGTGTGTTCTTTAATTTGTCATGATCAGAAAAAAAAGGAGGAAATCCATAGATAATGAAATGGCAGAACAATTAGTATGAAAAACGTCAGTCAGCATGTGACTTGCACATTTGTTGTTTTTGCTGACAAGGTCATTGTACATGCATCGACCATAATCTATTGATACCTTGTTTCATCAACTTGGTTGTCGATAGCTTGCTTCGTTTTAGGAATCGGTCATACGTAGAGCACTAGTACATAAATATTAAGAATGAAATTGTGGAGGTAAAATGGTTGCTAGACAACTGGAGTATTATATGACTTAATTTTTGTTGTTGTTGTTGTTGTTGTTGTTGTTGCTTTTGTTATGCAAATGGGCTTTACAGTTTATGCAATGTTAAATATAGTTGTTCAAGACAATTCGTGTTTGTATTCATTGTAGACTAATTTAATTAAAAATCTCTACCATTAATTAAAATTACTACCATTAATTAAAAATCTCTACCATTTATCTCCCTATCAACAACAGCGACCCGTTCTCGCCGGAGTCTGCCAGGTATCTTCGAGACCGAAAGAGAAAAGCCGCAGCTATTTGCCCTGTGAAGGATTCATCCATGAACGTTAATGAAAATGCTTTCTTAACAGGTACTTCTACGGTGGCTGGTATAGGACATGGTATGAGAATTTTTTTTATGAATTCGTGGCCACGAAATAAAATTCGTGGGAACGAAATAAAAATTCTTGGGAACGAAATAAAATTCGTGGCCACGAAATAAAATTCGTGGGAACGAAATAAAAATTCGTGGTCACGAAACAAAATTCGTGGCCACAAAATAAAAATTCGTGGCCACGAAAGAAAATTTGTGGGAACGAAATAAAATTCGTTGCCACGAAATAAAAATTCTTGGCCACGAAATAAAATTGTGTTATATAATGTCATTTTTAGCTTCATTCAAGATGAACGGACTTATTTTTATCATTCAATTGGACTGAGCCAAATGGATTTTTGTTTGGGTATTGAATAATATGCCTGAATCATCATTAATTATTGAAAATTGATTTTTGCCGGTTAATTGCATGAAGAGCTGGTGAATGAATAAATAGTATCAATACTGATCTGACTAGTTCATCGCATTTTTCCATAACAATTACATGTACCTTTATTGAAGAGCACACACTTTCATTTGTATTACACAGTTGAGTTTTATGTGAAAACAATCATGACAATATCTGAATATTGCTTTCATTTTTAAGATGTCACGTTCCCGATAATAGGGGCCTACTCCGCCACTGATTGTAAAATAAATAAACTTTGAGTTATTGACTTAAAAAAGCATTACAATTACACGTATTTATTTGAAACATCTAACAATAAATGTGTGAAATACATTGAAAAATGCACTGGACATAAGCTTAGCTATTGTAAATAACATAATATATTGTCAGCTTTTTGTCTGCGCGTCTATGCACATTGGCGTCACGAACCCGATCTGTCAATACATGCACTAGAATTTTTATCTTTTATTTCGTTCCCACGAATTTTTATTTCTTGGCCACGAATTTTTATTTCATTCCCACGAATTTTATTTCGTGGCCACGAATTTTATTTCGTTCCCACGAATTTTTATTTCGTGACCACGAATTTTATTTTGTTCCCACGAATTTTATTTCGTGGCCACGAATTTTATTTCGTTCCCAAGAATTTTATTTCGTGGCCACGAATTAATAAAAAAAAAATTCCCATACCATGTCCTATACCAGCCACCGTATACTTCTCATAATAAAAGCTGTGTCGATTTTTGTTTTCAATGGCTAGCCAATCTGTTCGTAAAAATTTAAATACAATTGTAAAATTTATAAATACAATCTTGTAAATTCTATAATTACAAGTTTTGATGTGTTAGTATATTAAATTGTGAATGGAGAGGTTTTTGTATCTGGCAAATCTCTAATAGTCTTTAAAAAGAAGAAGAAAAGATTTCAATTTTTAGAAAGTTGGAAATGTAAAATTCACAGATCGTATTTTCTCTTTAAAGCACCAAGCACCGGCTCCTGTTCATCTGCTAATGACCATAATTTTAAGACTGAGAGGACATGCGAAAAACCTGTGGAGAGTCCTCCTATCTTGAAAGTTTCCAGGGGAAAATATTTTAAGAATGATAGAATGGATGATGAACTTTCTGACATAGAGGTTGACTGCGAAACAAACTCTTTGATAAATAATGCCGTCGATCAGTGGTTTTGGAAAGATGGTAATGGAAAATGGATTCCATATCCCAAAAAAATGAACGATAAAATCAACAGAAGTTACAAACGAAACCCTGGTTCCACTGTTGTAGTTACAATAAAAGACCAAACGTAAGTTACTTTTCGAATATGTGCATATACATAATTATGCATATGGAATAAAGATTTCATAAAAAAATATTATCATAAATAAATAGCCATTCGTTTTATCATTTTGTTTCAGATACAGGGTAGTTATGGCCAAAAATATGCATATAAATTTGACAACAAGGGAGGAGTCTAAAGTTAAATTTGTAAAATTTGATTTATAAAATAAAATTACTTATTTGGCTTGATTTATTTCTTTGACTTCTACTTTTATCTATCTTAATGAAGAGTTTGAACAATTCTGACCACTTAGATTCATCAATTATTTCTCTTTTTCCATTTTATTTTGATCTAGGTAAAATATAAATATAAAATACTGGTATAAAAACCCTAAATTTAAGCTAAAACTAAGCATATAATTTTTTTTTAAAAATCATACTCTGTTTTAGTATCAGAGAGTATGAATTTTTATAAAAGGTTCTAGCTTTGATTTAAGATTTTTTAGTTGTAATACTTTGTGAATATGTCATAGAAAAATATTCTATTTTAAAAAGTCAGAGAATCTTTGGGGTACGAAACATGGCGGGAATGGGAAGGGGGTCCAGTCTAAGCACCTGTTGAATAAAGCTCAGAGGTCGGAATACATCTTTCTGTTCGAATATTTGAACTATAAATATCAGTAACCGATGTTGGATGAGGATATTGGTCTCACAACATTTAATTAATTCTAGTTCAGCCTAGTTGCAAATATTTTATTTCAAGAAGTACATTATAAGATAAAACAAGATTTATCTGTGACATTTAAAGACCCCGGTTTTTACAAAAATATAGTTACATCAATAAAAATGAAATCTTTCTGACTTGGTTTTTCATAAGAAATATTTTGATGTACGAGTACAAAAGATTTATATAGAACCATTTATTTTAGCAAAAACGTTATTGTCCACGAACTTTTTGGACAACCCTGGAATGTATATCAATTTTGGACTTGAAGAGATATATGTATAAGATGAAGATATTCAAAATTGATAGCAGCAACATGTAAATATTAAAAGAAAAGAAAGTAACAAAAGAAAGTAACAAAAGAAGATAATGATAAATTTTAGCAGTTTGGGATTGCAGTAAAACTCGTTTAGTACGAACACGGATAAAGCGAATTCACGGATATACCGAAGTTTTTCTGAGTCCCCGGCAAAATTCTTAACAAATCTTTGTAAAATTTTTACGGTTATAACGAACTCTGATATAACGAATTTACGGATAAAGCGAACTGATTTTGAGTCCCGTTGAGGTTAAATATAATGAAATTTACATCTTTTATAACTAACTTTCAAAGATTATTAAAAAAATGATAAATTGAACTTACTTTATTTCCTTTTCGCATTTGTATACAAAACTCAATTCATAAGAAAACCTTAGTTATCGAAGATATGTTTAGCTATATTTGCTTCACTAACATACATGTAGTTGGTAGTAATACTTGAAAGAAAACATGCATAGTGCGAATTCGCTATAATGGTTATACGAATTCGTTATACGGATATAACGAATTACGGATATAGCGAATTAAATTCACAGGTCCCAAGGACTTCGCTGTAACCGAGTTTTACTGTACTTATAATAAATGTATGGCAAGCCCTTTTACTATTTATTAGTGAAATAAAAAAAAATGCTTTCAATAAGAGAGATATCTCTCTAGCATAAAGAGATATCTCTTTATCTTATATAGATATCTCTCCAACTTTAAGAGATATCTCTTTTGCTTAAAGAGATATCTCTTTAAACAAAAGAGATATCTCTTTTTGTAAGAGAGATATCTCTTTCACTTAGAGAGATATCTTTATAAGCTAGAGAGATATCTCTTTAAGCGAGAAATATATCTTTTAAAGTTAGATAGATATCTCTTAAATAAGATTAAAAGAGATATCTTTCTTAGTTAGAGAGATATCTCTTTGGATTTCCAAAAAGAGAAATCTTCTAAGCTTCAGAGATATCTCTTTTAAAGAAATTTTAAAGAAATTTCCCTTTTCAAGTGATCTTTAAAATAGAATGATGAATTCTCCACTTTAAAACGAAACCAAAACAGGAAGTAAAGTCTCTGAAATAGTTTCGATGTTATAAGAAAAAAGACTGAGCAAGCATTTACCCAGAATAATATATGTACTGTGTATGCAAAAATGCTATAAATCCCTTTCTTGAAACAACAAATAATAGTGGCAACTTTGTTGATAAAAATTCAGGAAGATGAAAGTAAACACATATATATAATCTCAAATGTAATTGACTGAATTTTCTCAACTTATAAAATATAAGCAACTATTTCTAATTTGAAATCTACACAAAACTGAGATATTATAAGCTATAATGTAAAATATCATGAATAGGTCGTATTCAAAATTATTTTAATGTACTTCCGTGAATAAAAAGCTTAATTCCGGTAAAGGGGGAAGTCATTTTAAATGATATTGAAATAAAAATAATGAAGAGAGATATCACTTTGCAATAAAGGATATCTCTTTTTGCTTGAGAGATATCTCTTTTGGACACTTTTGAAAGATATCTCTTTCACTTTAAGAGATATCTCTTAAGGTAAACTAAGAGAGATATCTCTTTAACTTTATGAGATATCTGTTTACTTTGGAAAGATATCTCAAAAAGTAAAAGAGATATCTCTCTATGTGAAAGAGATATTTCTTTGACGTTTAGAGATATCTCTTTTCACGAAAGAGATATCTCTTATGAAGAAAGAGATATCTTTTCAAGTGGAAGAGATATCTCTCTAATAAAAAGCGATATCTCTCTAAATATAAGATATCTCTCTAACTTCAAGAGATATCTCTTTCTCAAAGAGATATTTCTTAAAAATGAAAAATATCTCTTTAACTTGGGAAATATCTCTATTTTTCAAGAGATATCTCTGTAATTTTAAGATAGATTTTATTTTCCGAATAAAGACTTAGTAGCAAAAGGGCTTGCCATATAAATGCCGTTAAAACATAGATAAGTAACATATGTACAAAGACTTTGTACTAAATATTAATACTATTAGTACATGTAATCTTGCATTTATTTGGTTCTTTTTTACATTAAAAATTCATTAAAAATTTATATTTCATATTTTAAGGGGGCCGACTATAGTTTCCATTGCGCAATATTTCGTTCATCTTAGTATAATGAAGCGTATTTACTGTTTTAATGCAAGTTTTTTCGCTTAATTATTAAAATTAAACAAAATTAAGAAATTATAGGTATAAAAATGTAATTACAATTTGATATAACTGATTTTTTAACCAATTTTGCAATTGATAGGTAGGTTGACGTCGTTGCAGTGTGTTTTTGACGTTATGATAATGTGTAGCTCTTAAAGAAAGGGGTAATAAAAATATTATTAAAGAAAAAGTAATTAACATACGCTCTTGAAATTTAAAACACAGAAATTTGAGTTTATTTCCAATATTTTTAATATGTTTTCATATGAATCCGTTGTGTACGTCATATTTTGTAATACTCTATAAAAATAGTAAAATTTGCTTATTTTTTGCATTTTGAGATGCCCCCTCTGGTAACAAGACGGTAGAATTTTGTGTTTTTTACATATATTGTATAATATAGTATTACTCATCAAATATTATAGTTTGAACAAAATGTCTATTGTAGTATTTGTATAATTTGCTTTAAAGTGCTAAAAATTGGCATTTTCTTATATAATTCTACAGTAAATGTACCTGTATTTTGCGACAGTCCCTCAAAAATACCTGGACGGTAGATTTCCCCCAAACTCTGCATGTACATTGAAGTTAGTGTAAGTTATATATGGTATAAAAATAAAAAGTTTCGCTATTGTAGTTTTCACACAATAAAACTATCGTCGGCCCTCTTAAAATTTTGATTAAAAAATTATCCGGCTTGATAAACAACATCATTCTCATAAAAAATAATGACATGAATGTATATATATGTAATCAGATCGCAATATATACAAATCTTTTAAGCATATTTGATAAACAGTTGTTGTGTTTTTTATACACTAAAATGTCTTTCAAATTTTTGTCTCTTTTATAGGCAACGATTGGGGTCTTTTTGAACGCGAGTTTCAGGCGATCGGAATTTTCAAGAATTTTTTGCCTTTTCTTCAAAATGTTATGAATATTTGGTAATCCTATTGAATAGGTCAACACAAGGGGAATACGATCACATCGCGTTTTATTTTTTCTATAATTAAGTAGATCTGAGCGATTGAGTTTGTCGACTTTTGTAAGTTGTTTTTCTACTTCGTTGTTAGAATATCCTCGTTTTCGCAAGATCCTTTTCACTTTATCACGTTGGTTTTGATAGTTTTCCTCTGTGGAACAAATACGACGTGCTCTAAGACCAAGGTCGTACGGAATTGACCTTTTTGTAGATTCGGGATGGCTGGAGATTTTGTTAAGGTACATATGTTTGTCAGTTGGTTTGCTGTAAAGATCTGTTGTAAGAAATCCGTTATCCAGACAAATATAAACATCAAGGAAATCTGTTTTTGTTTTTGAAAAACGCAGGTCAAGTTGAATGTTGGGGTGAATATTATTTGCAGTCATATGGAAATCATGTAATTCTTCTTCTGTCCCCGTCCAGATCCCAAAAAAATGTTGTCAATGTATTTTAGATAAAACAGAGGTTGTTGTTTGCAATTCGCCAAAAGAATATTTTCCCATTCCCCCATGTAAACACAGGCATAGTTTCGTCCCAGTTTGGATCCTATAGCGGTACCTTCGGTTTGGATATAATGTTTATTGTTGGAACTAAAATTATTGTTATCCAGGACAGCATCCATCATTTCTAGAATACTGTCAGTATCTACTTCTTTTTTCTGTTGTTCTTCTAGGATCCTTTTGATAACTTCCCTTGCTTCCTTCCTTGGTATACTAGGATACAGTGATTTAACATCCATGCAAAATAATATAGAAGAATTTGGTAACGGTTGTTTCAATGTTGAGAGTTTCCTCAAGAAATCCGTAGTATCCTGTATGTAACATTTAAGTGATTTGTTTGCATCCTCGAGCTGTAATTCAACATATTCTGCTAGCTTTTCTGTGGGATGTTGACGGCCATTTACTATAGTTCTCAGCGGGTGATTTTTCTTGTGTACTTTTGGATTGGCCTGTAGTTTACCGGAAGAAATATCTGTTGGTAAAAGATAGTGTCGTAGCTCTGTCGAGATAGATCCTCTTTTATGCATGTTATT